CTTAGTGTGAACGACAGAAAGCAAGAGAGAGAGGGCTTTTTTCTTCTTTTTGGTTGTGCAGTTGCTTTAAAGAACCCATCCCCAACCCTCCATCCCCCAGTTGTTGAAATGTGGCAGAAGTGAAGGTGGAAAAGGGGCTAGAAGGCCCCAAGGTGGATGGCAGAGCAGAGCAGCGGGAGAGTAGCGTGAGCACAGCCGGACAGGGAGACAGAAAACAGCAGGAGGAACAGAGTACCTGAAGGCAGCAGCACCCAGTAGCAGCACGAGACACAGAAAGGTCCAGAGGAAGCAAAGTTAGAGCAGTGCTAAAGCCGTGGGAGCTCCACAGAGAAAAGCAGAGGYCCCCCCTCAGCAGCAGGGACTTTCTGAGTTAAAAAAAAGAAAATTCTTCGGGAAGGTTGAAGTCAAAGAAACAAAAGTGACTCAATTACTAGTGCCCCTAGTCATTGCTGATGCTGCTAGTGACAGAATTTGCTTTGTTTTCACTGATCACAGATCTTGTGGGAACTAAGGCACCGCAACCATATCATGGACAGACAGGACCAAGAAACGTGAGAAGATCTTTGTTTACTGAGGTTTGGACTAGATGTTCTCTAGAGGTCCCTTCCAACCTCAACCGTCTATGAACGTGTGTGAATCTAATGAACGCAGAGACAAAATTCCCTACAGACTCTACTCTTTATCTGGATGAAATTCTGACATTAATGTATCTTGCAAACTATGCCTACAATGATGAGGGAAACCAGCTTTGTCACCCCATCCAAGGATGAAATGGCCTTTCTGAACAGGGAAATGAGAATACCTGTTCACAGCAACTATTAATTTCTGGTTTCAGATAAATGTGTGTGTTGTTGCATGATCAGTTCTGGGAATACATGGGCTTTTGTGGAAGATGTTGACTTCAACCTGGAGAACATGTTCATCTGGGGAGCCAGGTGCCCATCAGAACAATATTCCATAGCAGGTTTCAAGACAGCTTCCCTAGCAGAGAAAGCGGGAAAGCTGAAGCTAGGAAAATGTTTGAATTAAGTGTCTTTGGTCCAGAAATCACTGAAACAACATCCTGTTCCACCTTAGCTTTTCAAAAGAAAGAATACTTCTGTAGTCTTCCAATTTGTCTGGTCCAGTAAGAAATCTGTAGTCTATCTTATTCTTAAAGAAGACTACTTATGTTTTCTTGCTTTTGCATCTTCATTTTGGAGGTGGGGGAAGAGCAGTTAAAGAACACTACTAAATAAAGGCAGGTACCAAAGCAAGCCAAGTATCTATGCAAGGCAAAATACTTTGTAATTAGAAATGCTTTTAACATAAGTGATCATAGACTTCACAGTATAGTGAGTCAGAAGTTATTACACCTAACTGGGCTTTAAAGAATTTCTTGGATGCCTGAAATTTCTCTAGTTCTACAGCAGACAAATTATCCACGTGTTATTAGACCACCRTTTTCTTAAGCACAGCTGCTTTTTAGACAGAGCAGGTTCACAAACAGCTGGTGGTGCTGCTGACATATCTTAATTTAAAAAGAAAACCCTGATTTGTACATCACCTATTTTGGCTACTTAGTAAAACTAACTTTCAAAGCAACTGATTACCATGTACTTTTTATGTTGGAAGTGTAAAGAATGTGCTGTACTAGTCCCAGAGTTTATTAGGATATAATGAATTTCTAATATTACATTTGATTAGCTAATTTATAAACTGTTATTAAAATGTTGATTTTTTCAAATGCAGATAAGCATTTATTAGTCAGTCTTTGTAACTGAGAATACACTAGGAGAAGCATTCTATGAATGAACAGCTCAAACTGATGCATGACCTTAAAGATATCTTAAAAGCAAACAAAGCAGCTCAAGATTATTAAGGTCAGCAAGTTTTTTTTTTTTTTTTTTTTTTTAATCAGCAGTCATGATACAGCCTGGTCAGGGTCCATAGTCTGTAATTGCAGTTTTGCCTGGTAAACAAAGCTGTGAATAACCACTCCAAAAATACTCTCAAGATTTGCCCCTTTTACTGACCAGCTTATTGCTGGCTGTTTATTTTTGTCTCTGCTAGAGACTGCTACTGATTGCTTTTCTAGAGCAAGAGAGCAGACATTGGTTCTTCCAGAGGGAGGGAAACCGTTCAACACGAGATACAGATCAATAGCAAAACTCTGCAGACTCTGCAGGGTCACCTCGGCCAAATACTGGCTGTACTTACCAGGCAGAAGTGTGCTACATTGATACCAACATTCTGTTTTCCTGTTACATCATGTTTTTTCCTGAAGACTAAATCAATCCTGGATTAGAGAAATCTGGAGGTTCCACTAAATTAAATTCATATTCTCATGCAATCACAAAGAAAATGCACACTGTTCTGTATGTACATGGGAYTGCACGGAGTTTTCCTAGCAGCATTACCAACTAGATTGCTGATCCTTCCTACATTTAATGAAATGGAGTAGCTGCCCCGAGCCTTCCATCCCTGATTCACAGTTGTTTCCAGGCATTGCAGCTTCAGGAAAACAGATGGAGGGGGGGCAGCCCTTTCATGTGAAAGGAAACAGGCTGCACGGCTTCTCTGTGGCCAGAAAGCGAGTCAGCAGGAGAGGGCTCCGAGCTGGGAGCCTTACAAGAGGATCCAGTTCCCTCAGAGCTGCAGCCCCACGTTTTGAAACTGCCCACAGCAGACCATGGGTCTGGCAACAGTCACCACTATTGCATGAATAAGTTATTCTGGAAATCAAGAGAGACACCATCCAAAGCCACCATTTGAATATATTTATTCATGGACAGCAGTTCATAAAATTGGCACCACATAGCAAAAAAAAAAAAAAAAAAATTGTCATCACTGACACATTTTCATTCCCACTCATCTTAATTTCACAGCAAGTTAGACTAGTGGACTTGAAAGTTGTGAAGTAGTAAAATACCATCTTCTCCTTTAGGAAAACAGCAGTGCTTATGACTATAAATATTTTAACCGGATATATGACAAGCTAAGGTAGAAACATAAAAATGATAAATGTTTAAACTCCATAAGGATTACTTATTGATACAGAACTAAAGTGACATGTTAATTATGCTAGTATCTCCAGCAAACCAGAGGTATTAAAAAATAAACTTGGTGTTTCAGTTCTTAATTTTAAGAAGCTTGTGCCTTTAATTCAAGTGCTACCTTGGGAAAAAGCATGCTGAAATGATGCAGAGTTACAATTTTAGTCAGTTACAAATGACAACATGTATTGCAATTATCTTCACAGTACTATTGAGCATTACCAGCATTTCCCAATTTTCAAACATGTACCTTCCTACACTCTGTACTTGAAAACAAACAAACMAACCAACCACTTGTAGCCCAAAGCCCCATTTTCCCTTCAGTCACTCCTTTCAATGCAGGGAGGAATTCGGGATGTTACCTAGAGCATATTCCAAAGGATCTAAGGAATCCGGGCCCTGCCCCATCCTCTCTCCACAAAAAGAAGGGTTCGTAATCACATTTCTCCTGAAAGAACAGGAAGGTGCAAGAAAGCAACAGCTTCACGTGTTTATGAAATGAAGGAAATGAAGTAATGATAAATCCTGAATCACATGTGCAGAAATAATAATAAAGAAAAGAAAAGCTAGTAGATTCTTCATTGGAGCTGCAGAGAGAGCAGCTTTGTTTTGCCTGCAGCCTGTGCACAGTGCCTGAGTCAACAGGATCGAGCACTTCAGTGAAAATTCCTTTTTTGGTAACTAGGGAGCATGACTTGGTGCATTGGATTGCCAGTGAGTGCAATGGGCAGAAGGGCCAGTGCAAGCCAGGAGGCACTAAATACACCTCTCACCTCTGACAGTGCAATGCTACCAAGCCTTTACTGCACCCGTAACATGTGCCTATTAAATGAGATAAAAAATAAAAATTAAAGTTAAAAAAAAAAGTTAAAAACCAGCTTCATCTCTGCATACTTGGAGCTAAGAGCTTTTGTTTAAAAAAAAAATCCGTGCCTCATAAGCTTGCACACTTGCAAACCACGCCTGCATGTGGTTTGTTTTCTGGAAGCTAGAAAATGCTGGAGTTGTTCTTTGCCATGTACCATGCAGAATACTGAGCTGATATCTTCAGCAGGCTGTCAAAAAACCAAAGTGGCTCCAGTTCAGAGAACTAAGGACTCCRGTGCCAAAACTTTATCTACGGGGGGTGGGGGAGTTTGTGCAGTAACTGATACCATCCTCCAAATACTAATTCTGCAGCAAAATTCAGACTCGGTAGCAATGGCAGAACTTTCCAAGATATTTCTCCCCCTGTAGGGAAAGACCAAGTTTTTGCTCAGCTGTTTGTGCYAAGTTGGAACACAGAGATACTTGGAGATAGAGGCTTTGCTGCTCAGATGACCTTCAGCAGCTCCAGTTCTACATGTCAACCTCTCTGAGCAGCAGCCACTTGAAAACATTCCAAATTCATCCCCAATCAAGTCTATTGGATTGCTAAATTTTAGAATAGTGGCACTGGGAAGTATGGAGTGTCAGTTCTGCAGTAATTGCCTCCAGCTGCAGGAGGCTGGAATTGGAGAAATGCAGTTCAGCCTTACAAACGTTTGTGTAGCACAGATGTCAAAAGGACAGGTATAGGTTAGCGTAGTATTGAACAATGCCTTTTTTTTTTTTTTTTTTTTTTTTTTTTAGTTTATTTCATATAAA